ATTTAGCAAGAGGCTGCCCTCAGGCAGGAAGTATCAGCCCTCTGTATCCAAATCTAAAATCCCAATGTTAAATCCAAAAAACCAACCCTAGCCTCAAACCACAAATCCAAAACATAACCCAAGTCTGGTAACGCAAATCTTAATACTAACCCTAAACCTAACCGCAGCCTTAGCCTCCACCTCGACGCTGATATCAAGAACTTTCGCGTCAATAGCGCTTCTTGTTGTCAAAATCTTCATATTACTTCACCCATTTCCTATTTAATCGCCAGGCAAAGCATACTGAACCACAACTGCCCGAACACAAAAAGAAAGTAGGTTTTTGAACAACTCCCAGGGGGCTACATGCCATACCCTCACCAAATATCTCTTATAACCAATGAACTGCCAATGGTGCTGGATTAAGGTAGCAAATAAGTAGGCTATGATGACCTGCACATGTGTTGGACCTTGAAAAAGGAGAATCTTCCGTTTGTCATTTCCCTGGACACCTTACTTACCAGGGATAGGATTGGACAACTGCGGATGATACGGATTGTCGTGGAAGATATTACGTGCGCCCCTGATTAAAAAAGTCATATTGAACAAACCTTAAAAGCACTAAATTTGAGTCACCGGCATTCTCTGATGAGGACTAAGATCTAGTGGTTAGTGACATGGAATACTGCGCAGCTAAATTAGTGACACCAACAGCAGTTCGGATTTGTTTCAGCGAATGATACTTAACAAGGGTAAGAGAAAAATATGGGAAGTGAAGGTTGATGTGTCGAGGCCTCGACGTACCGACATATTCGGCGCGTTTTAGGAAGAAGTCCGACGTTTCATAGTTCTCCACTCCAGAAAGTGTGGGTTTTCCTTCACTTGACTACGTCTTGTTTTTGTGCTAAACTCTCCCGCCCCCCACGATGTCTTAAAAAAGATGTTTACAGACCGCTTGAAAATCACGTTTTGTGATTTATTTCCTCATTTCTTGTATAAAAAACAAAAATCCATAAAATTAGATAATGCTTGTGTGTGTGTTTGTTTACGTTTAGTCAACTTTTAACTATGTCCCTGATACTGGTACTGAAATAGACTACTACCGATAAACGACTAACGAAAACAGGTTGTTGGAGGTCATCGTTGTTTCTCGATAAATTGTCATTGGTATTTGAGTACAGACAATAAAGTAAGCGATTACGATGATTTTAAAACAAACAGCAGCAGAAACAGCAATATGACTTTAATTAAAAACAGCTCAAACTTTATAAAGTGAATAGATAGTTCTCACATAAGTACTTTATCAAAACAGGCGAAACTTGAACTCTAGAGTAGTTGGAGAATCCAAAGACCATAGATATTTTGGCAAACCTTAACCAGGTTAAAAGGGGCTGTAAGAAACCAGTGGGAACATTTTGAACCAGAAAATACTGGGCGGTTGTTTGGTTTAATTTATCCTCGAGAATAATACCAAATACTCCAGTCCTAGGCAAAACCTCGTCAGAGTTGCAGACGAAGCCGAATTTCTCTGCGCTAAGTAACAAAGCATATAAGTATATCAGACCGTTATCAGCAAATAGTCAGAAAAGATAATGGGCTGACTATATATCTGCATATACTTCGCTTTTTGCTCCTCGTTATATGTTCCTATAAATATTTATCGAGCCACATTTTAATGCCGGCTGACTGCACTAATGCCCAATTAACGTTGGGTTGAGCGCCCAGGTCTGATGCAAAGTATGTTGCCGTGTAGTAGGCGAGGTAGAGGTTTCCCTGCTTAAGTGACGGATACCCCTTTTAATTATAAATGACCCATTATGCGCACCGATTATGGCAACAGCTATCAATTTGCCCGTTTCGGTTGCACCCCCTAGGCCCTAGTGGGCATTATCATGATGTTTTCTGTTATTCTTCCAAGAAGTGTCAGTGAATAGCAG